GTCCCATGCGCTCGGCACCGCCCTGCACACGGGCGCCGAGGTCGGCACCTGGACAGGAAGCCCCGCGGCCCTCCTGCGCCGCACGGACGGTCCACACTGCCGCCCCGGCTCCCGCGGAAGCCCAGGGTGGGCCAGCCGGCGCGACGCGCCCTCGGAGAGCCCAAGGCTGACGGGGGTTTGCCCCTCGGGTACATGTGCGCGCCCGCCCGCGGGCCCAGGGAGCTTTTCTAGCACGGGGAGCAGCCCTGCGTGATGTGTGCGGTTTTGGCCAGCTTGTCATTGGATCCTTAATGTTGTTTGTGATATACTTTGCCGGACGCAGACTTGTTACATAATAAAGTGATGAGAGACAACAGCAGCTGAGTCAGAATTAGGGTTAGTCAGATGGCGGAGACAGAGGTGGGGCCAGTCAAGAGGGACTGCGGGAGACACGCCCCCGGCACAGCCCCCGCCGCTGCCACCCGGAGGTGCCCCGGGGGGCGCCTGGCCCTCCGCCCCCAGCCCTGGGTCAGGGCGGACGGAGAGGCTGAGTCAGGGAGGGAGAGCCCCTCCGTGGGCATCCGGCCCCCACCCCGTCTCCCGTCTGTCCTGCCGGCTGCCGCCCGCACCCCCGTCTGACCCCCCTGCGTGTCCTGCCCTCTCATCCTGGTCTCCCACTGCTGCCCCGCTGCGCCTCTCCCTCTCCCCCTACTCTGCTTTGCCTCTGGCCGCCCGAAGCTCCCATCACTTCCCACCTCCACTCTTGCCCCGCCAGTCCTGCCCAGGAGCTCTGCCACCCCTCTCGCTTCCCTCCCGCTCATCCCCCCACACCGGTCCCTGAGCCTCCGAGACCATTCCTGTGCCTTCCTCCTGGAGTCTCCACCCCCACGTCTCCCTCTCCCTGCGGTCCCCGGCCCGCCCCCTCACGCCTGTCGGCTGGCCCCTCTTCTCTGTCTCCCAGACCCTGGGAACCCCAGTGAGGACGTCCAGAGGGTGGCTGGTGGCCCCTGGGAGCCCAGGATGAGGGGTCACCGCCACACCCCCATCCAGAAAGGGGGCGGGAAGGGGCAGTGAGGCCGTAGCCTGTCTGGCCAGAAGGAAGTGTATTTGCTGTGGCCTGGTCACCCCCGCCCCCAGGACCTGCAGGGCTGCTGCCGCCGCCCTCCTCCACTCCACCCCCCCCCGCCCCCCGGGCTGGGGCCGAGTAAACACAGCCGCCCGGCAGCTGGGATATTTATACCGAGGTCTGGGCGCAGGTCCAGTGCCCACCACAGCCCCTGCCCTGCCCGCCCGCCACGGCCAGCCCCGGGCCAGCGTGGCACCAGCCGGCGAGGGGACACACCGCAGATGCAGCCTCCACTCAGCACAGAGGCCTCTGGGTGTGTCACTGGGATGCCGGCGGCTTCCCTGGGGACACACCATGCCCCTCCTGCCCTGGAAACACCAGCACAGAATGCAGACCTGCAGGACACACGGCCACCCCACCGAAAATTCAAAACACCTCGAAGATCACGTGGTGCAAACAGAGAGACCCACACCACAGCTCACACGCCAGTCACCAGCCCACATACGGGGAGACAAAATGCAAACCCCATCTGCGCATGGAGTGTGTGTCCAGTCTCGGCGTGGACACACACTCACACAAGCATACGAGGAGGATGACAGCAAGCGTGTTGGAGACACACCCCACAGACACAACGCGCTCAGAATAGCAGCAGGGCACACATGGATCACAGACCTCCCCCAGAAACAAGCCGCCCACAGACGCACGAACACTGGGCACTGCCCCCCCGCCACACACACACACACCCGCACTGAAAACACAGCTCCGGCTAGCAAACACAGAGCACAGCAGCTCCCGGAAACACGCCTCCCTCACAGACATGCAGACAGGCACAGAAAACATCCGCACTCCGAGTCACACTTACCGAAGAACGCACAGATTTACACCCAGAGAGCAAGAGCAAAGATGTTGAGAAAAAATGCAGACACACGGCGCGCCCCAGGGATGGGACCCCACTCCTACACACAGACTTGCTGAGACACGGTGTCATGTCACAGAGCCCAGAGAGGACACCGGCTTCTAGACAGAAACACAAAACTCGGACCCACACGCAGCACAGTCAGACACACGGAGGGGACACGTGCTGGGGATGCACACTTGGACAGAAGCTGTCCACACTCAGCATGGCCAGCCGGCGCCCGCTGGTGTGTTAGAAACCCCCATGCTGCACACACAAAATCCACAGCACAAAGCTTGTAGACACACACACACACACACACAGGGGTTCTGAACATGTTCAAATTTACATTAGAAACCCAAAAGACACCAATCACGAAGTTGGGGGGAGGGGCTTTCTCATCCCCCCCCCGCCCCCTCCCTTGCTCGCCCCACTCCTTCCAGCTGACCCAGCTCCCAGGCCTGTCTGGGGGAGGGGGCAGGAAGGCCTGAGCTGGCCTCTCCAGCCCCGCTTCCTGCCCCGTGGGGGCCGGACGGGAAGCTGGGGCTCCAGCCGGAACCCAGGCTCCCCCCACGACTTCCCTCCCCTCCCGGGGCTGCCCGCAGGAGCGGGGGAGGGGAGCGGGACTCCCTGAACCCCGGGTCCTGCCCCCGCGCTTGGGCGCTGGGCCAGAGGCCAGGACTCCCTTGTCCCCACGGGGCCTGCCCCCCCCCCCGCGGGGTCGGGGGTGCCGCGTAGCAGGGCAGGGGCAGCCCGCAGGCAGTCCAAGAAGGTGCTGAGCCCGCAAGTTTCCCTTCCTGGGCGGCCTCCGCGCCAGCTCAGCCGGGCCGGCAGGTGGGCGGGGTGTGTCACGAGGGCGTGGCGAGGGCTCGGGCCACCGCGGGGCGTGCAGCCCTGTGCGGCCAGGACTTGTCCTCCGGCCCGGGCCCGGGCTGGGCGTGCGAGGGCCGCGACCCTGGGGGTGTGTCTGGGTGTGTGGGACTGCTCCGTCTGGGACCCGGGGTGTGACAGCCCGTCTGGGTATGACGGGGCCAGCTGCTGTCTGCGCGGCCTCGTGGGACTCCCCAGGCCTCAGCGTGTGGGGCCGAGAGATGTCAGGCTGAGTGGGCACGACCGGCCTGCAGTCTGCGCCACCGTGCCGTGTGTCTCCATGTGTGGCGTGTGTCTGGGTGGGACTGGGATGCGTCCGGTTGTGCCTGTTCGTGAGCGGGGACCCCGCGGAGGACGTTTGTGTAACTGTTGGCGGGTCCCAGCAGGAGTCTCTGTTTCACTTCCTGATGGGGCTCTGAGGCTGGGCGGTGTGTGTCTGCACGTGGCACCCTCTCGAAATCCGTATCTGGTGTGCGGGGGTCGTGTTTGTGTGACCGTGTCCTGCTGTGTCCCGGTGAAGCTCCGAGGCTGGGCTGGGCGCGCGTGGGCTGTGGCCGCCGCCCCTTGTCACAAGCTTCTGTGGAGCCACTGTGGCTCTGAAAGGTGGATGCGTTTGCGAGACTGTGGGACACGGTCCACATTCGAACCTCTGTTGTGAGTGTGAATGTGTGTGTAGCTGTGCCACATTTTCACGGGGCTACAGTGACGACGGTCTGTGTCACCGTGTGCTTGCAAGTGTGTGCACACAGGAGGCTGGTGAAAATGGCAGCATGTCCCTACACAGTGACCCCCACCCTAGGGCCATCCCTGGGCCAGGAGCAGGTCAGGCCCAGGCCCTGGGAAGGGCAGGAGAGCGTGGGGCGGTGGGGGGGAGGACCAAAACCTGGGAAACTGGAGAGGCTGAGGAGGAAGCAGGAGAGAGTTCACGGGCAAGACCAGAGCAGATGGGAAGAAACGGGGCAGCCGATGGGGAGCCACCCTGGCTCAGGGCGGTGGCATTGCTCACTTGGACAAATGGTCTCCCTGCAGCTCCCCTAGCCCACATTCAGTCTACTCAACCATCAGCCAGAGGGACTCTCTGAGCACCAAAGTCAAATCACTCTCCTCTTCTGTTCCGAACCCTGACGCGGCTCCCACCTCCCTCAGAGCACAAGTTCCCACAGGCCCCCACTGGCCCCCACAGGCCCAGTGTGGACGGGGAAGCAGTCCCCGTGCAGAGGTCAGGTGCCTAGATCCTCAACTCCAGCTGTTTGGGCTCGAATCCCAGCTCTGCCAACTGCTAGCTGTGTGACCTTAGCAAGTAACTGAACCTCTCTGTGCCTCAGTCTTCCCACCTGTAAAATGGGGCGCAAAGGGTCTCTATAGTAGGAGCTGGCAAACTGTTTCTGTAAAGGGCTAGACAGTAACTATTCGTGACTTTGCATACAGTTTTTACTCAGCCCTGCCCTTGTAGCACTGAAACAGCCCTAGGTGATGCACAAAGGAATGAGCATGGCTGTGCTCCAATAAAACTTTATTTACAGACACAGGCAGCGGGCCAGAATTGGCCTGCAGGCGGTAATTTGCTAATCCCCTGCTCTGCTGGGCTGTGGGGAGAATGCGGGTAGCTCCTACAGCCCTACCTGGCAGGGGGAATATTATTACTCTCTGGCCCATGAGCGTTAATCAACTGACTCAGCTCCCAGCACCCTTCTTCCCCTTGTCCCTCCCTTCCAACCACATTGGCCTTTCCTCTCAGTGTCGCTCACTCCAAGTTCATCCTCATGGCCAGGCTGTGCCTAGGTCTTCCTACGGAGAACACTCTCCCCGAGTGCTCCCCCAGACTGCCTTCTTGACTTCCTTCAAGTCCCAGACGCTGCCTCCTCCAAGGAGCCCTCCCTCCTCCCCCAAACCATCTCTGGCTCCATCCTGCTTTCCTGTCTTAGCGTCGCTTCCCACATCTGTCTCCTCCCCAGAAAGCAGGTTCCTGGTGGGCAGCAACTATTCCCTTAACCTCGCTGGGCTCTGGCTTCCTCACCTTTAAAGTGAGTGTTACCTCAGAGGACACTGTATCTCAGAGTTTTGTTATGGTGATTACATGAGTTAGTCAATATAAGGCATTTGGAACAGGGCACAAGGTGCTCAATAAATAAATCTAGCGGCCGCCGGGAGTACTTGGGACTTCAGGAGCGCTCAGCAGGTGTTTGTGGGAGGAAATGAATGGTGGAGAGCGACAGGAGGGGGGCACATGGAGCAGGAACCCGGGAACGTCAGGAATGCCGACAGGGAGACCCCAGTCAGGGACCCAACGACACGCACAGAGACCCCAGTCCTCTCTTCACCTTTAATGGACCCCAGGGGCGGGAGGGGGGCGGGGCTGGGGCGCGGTGTCCTTAAATACAGCCCGGCGCAGCGGGCGGGGGCGGGGCCGGGCCTGCCGGTGGGCGGGGCCTGCCGGGCGGGGCGGGGCCTCAGCTGCACTTGCAGGAGCGCACGATCATGTTGGACAGCTGCTCCACCTTGGGCTTGCGGCCCACGTAGTACACGATGGGCAGCGGCTCCAGCGCCTGAGGCACGCAGCACGGCGCCGCCGACGCGCCCGGGTTGTGCTGGTTGTACAGGGCCAGGACCTGCGGGCGGGGGCGGGGTGGGGGGGCGTGGGCAGGGTGCCCCCTCCCCCGCTCCCTCTGTCTCATCTCGGTCCGTTCCGTTCTCAGTTGCAGCCTCACTCTCCCCATTTGCCACCCTTGCCTTGTCCTCAGTCTCTCTCTGTCTCGGTGGCGGTCTGTGGACTCCGGCCTTTTTCTCGCATACTGACCCTGCCGTTCCCTCTCCTTCCGCCTTCCCGCCTCCCGCGCCCCGTCACTCGGTCTCCGTGGGTCTCCCGCTGCGCCCTGTCTCTCTACCTACTCTGACCCTGTCTCCTCCCGTCTCTGCTCCGTCCCCTCCGATCGACACCCGCCCCCGCCCCGGTCTCTCTCTACTTCTCAGCTGGCCCATTCCTCTCTGGTTTTACCCGTTTGTCTCCCTCCACTCCCTTGATCCCTGCTCCTCCCAGCGCACCCCCTGTCCGAGGCCAGACGCACCTTGCTGTACTGCGTGTCCAGGCTCCAAATGTAGGGGCAGGGCCCCAGGCAGAAGTTGGCGTGGTAGCCCTTGGGCTCGTGGATCCACTTCCAGCCCAGATCCTTCCGGAAGTCGATATAGAGCTGCCGCACGCAGCAGTTCTTCTCGGTGGAGCTGCGGGCGGGAGGGAGGAGCCCGGGTCAGGAGGGGCTGCTGCAAAGGCGGCTGGGCCCCGGGGGGCACCCTGGTCACCCCCAGCACAGTCCCCATCTCGGTCCCCCTTGCACCGCCTGTGACGATGACAGCAATAGCAGTGAGAGCAATCATACGCACTAACGCTGATAAAGCACTCGGGCTAGTCAAGCACCGTGCTAAGGGCATCATAGTAAACCTTATCTCACGCCAGGCTCAGAACAAGCCTGCAAGAAGCCAAATGACCGTCCACATGCACTAAGTTCTCTGTGTGCAACAAATGTTTGTTGAACCCCACTACGATGTGCTTGGCTGGGATCTACTAGGGACTCAGTGCAAACGACACAGACGGAAATCCTCGCCTTCTGGGGCCACATGCTAGAGACTGTCGTGTCGTTCCTCTGCTCCGAACGTGGCTCAAACATCACTCGGGGCAAATGCCCAAGTCCTCACCAGGAACCCCAAGATGCTGCCTGGTCGGCTGAGCTCAACTCCCTCCCCACTCTCCTTGACTGCCGGCCACATTAGCATCCTCCCTGTTCCTCAAACACAGTCCTGTCCCAGGACCTCTGCACTTGTTCTTCCCTCTTCCTGGCTTGCTATTCGCACAGATCTCCATCCACTCTGGCTCGGTTCTTCAGTTCATTTAAACATATGCTCACATGTCCTTTACACAGGGAGCCTTAACTCCTAGAACACCGGCTGACATGCAGCAGGTGCTCAGTAAATATCCAAAATACCAATCCAAATGATCATGAATTCCATTCAGTGTAATAATGGCATTTCAGTTATGCAAGAAAACATGACAATGTCTATATTAGAAGTGGGGCAAATTTTTCTGGAAGATTTTATTTTTAAGTAATCTCTACACCCAATGTGGGGCTCGAACTCATAACCCTGAGATCAAGAGTCACACGCTCTACTGACTGAGCCAGCCAGGTATGCCAAGTGGGACAAATCTTAATACCTGTTGAAGCTGGATGAGAATTCATGGGACTTCATTATACTATATCTTGGCTGCTTTTGTTTACATTTCAAATTTCCATAATAGAAAAAATTTAACCAGGATAAGAAGAATAGTCCCCAATATCTAGTTTTTTTCCTCTCCTCTTCCTCTGATTTATTTTCCTTCTTAATACTTATTGCCACATGGGGCGCATGGTTGGTTCAGTCAGGAGAGTGTGCAACTCTTGATCTTGGGGTTGTGAGTTCAAGCGCCACGTTGGGCATAGAGATTAATATTGTGTGTGTGTGTGTGTGTGTGTGTTAGATTTTTAAAAATCACGTTGGAGAATAGTGGTGTATAATACTCTACTGCTCTGGACTCATAATCTCTGTCCCATGCTCAGAAGCAAAAGCCAGTCCTCCCCAGCCAGGAGCCCGGGCTCCTGCTTGTCTGGAAGGAACTGGGACATTTTATGTGCTGGCCTCTGAGGCCATGGCTGAGCTGGGCAGGGACCTTGGCTAAAAAGCTTGATTTATAGGCAGCCGAGAATGCTTTATATTCCAGGTTCATAACATATGAAAGAAACACTAGGCAAAGCTCAAGGACAGTATGATCCAAATTCTGTTTTTGCATAAAAGAACTGGAAGGAACTATATTCAAATGTCGACTTTTTACATGTGGTAGAGTGATGGGTGCTACCTTTCTGTATTTTCCAAATTCTTGACAGTGGGTGTGTGTTACTTTTAGAAGAAGGAAGGAAGGAAGGAAGGGAGGAAAAGAAAGAAGGATGGGAGAGCGGGAGGGAGGAAAAAGTATGCAGCGCCCTCTCCACATCCACCCCAAAGGATTCTACAATTTGGTCAAAATAAAAAATACATGGAGGGACGCCTGAGAACGGAATAGACCGAGATGAGACAGAGGGAGCGGGGGAGGGGGCACCCTGCCCACGCCCCCCCACCCCGCCCCCGCCCACAGGTCACACAGCTAGCAGGTGGCAGAGCTGGGATTCGAGCTGGGTGGCTCAGTCGGTTAAGCATCTGCCTTCGGCTCAGGTCATGTTCCCAGGGGCCTGGGATCGGGCCTGCTTCTCCCTCTCCCTCTGCCTGCTGCCCCCACCCCCACTTGGGCTCTCTCTCTCCCCTGCCTCTGTCAAATAAATAAATAAAATCTTTAAAAAAAAATATTGGTTATGTATAAGTGTTTCAGAGACTGTCTCTGGAAAGAGACACAGAGACAAAAAAACAGGCTGCCTCCTCCTCAGGGGCGGGGGGCGGTGGTGGTCAGAGCTGGAGGGTCTCTGAGTATTCTTTCTAGGTTTGGTCCACGTGCACGTATTTACCTAGTCAAAAATTAATCAACAGAGAATGAATTAATCTCAAAACCCCGTGAGGCAGGCCTTATTATTATTCCCATTTGAAGGGTGAAGAAACTGAACCCAGAGAAGGGAGCGCTCCCTGCTAACGTGCAGCGGGCAAGCGGTGGAGCTTGGGGCCGGCTTCACCACCAGCTCTGCACCACCCAGGGGCCTGGGCACGGCCATGTCAGCTCAAGCAGAGCAGGAAGAGGTGATGATACAGATTTCTCCGGGGCAAGACAAGGCCTCTCCAAAAGCCACAGAGCCCTGAGAAGGGAGCCAGGAATCTGAGATCCCTATGAGCTCAGCCCAGTTCCTCCCCAGTCTGGTTGGGCCTCAGTTTCCCTATCTGTCCAAAGACACAGGGGATGTTAGGTCAACTAAGGTGTTGTTAAGGGCCAAGGAGGCATCAGGAAGTCCATGTGTGGGTTCAGCGAGGGTCTTGAGCTCCTGAAACCACAGGCACATACGTGTGGCTTTATAGACATTTGTCTGGGGCGATTGTCTGGGGCGATTGTCTGGCTTTCAGCTTCTCAAGGGGGTCCTAAACTCAGAAAAGGGAAAGAACCCCTGTCCAGAATAGTCTTTCACTTCTGGTTCACCTCTGACCGGGGGTTCTGAGGTCCTAAGATTTGAATAGCCTGTGACTCTTATCACCCACCTGGGACATGCTCCATGTGGGCTCCCCACAGCGGCAGATGCACCACCTGTGAACTTGTACAAAATGCAAATTCTCCGGCCCCACCCCAGACTTACTGAATCTGAACACGGGGGTGGGCTTGGGGCTGTTGGGGGACAGCAGGCCATATTTAACAAGCCTGCAGGTGACTCTGAGACACTGTGTAACCCATGTGTTCAGTACAAGTTCAAGGCCTTTTGCAAAGCTTTTAAGTACGCTCTATGCTCAACGTGGGGCTTGAACTCACGACCCGGAGATCAAGAGTCGCATGGTCTACTGACTGGGCCAGCCAGGTGCCCCTCTTGCAAAGCTCTTGCAGAGCCCCTCTGCCATCCAGTCAGGGCCTGATAGGTAAAAGAAACCTACTTGGGGCCCCAGGACAGGCCAAAGGGCCTCACATCGTCCTTGGACGCTAGGGAAGCGTTCAGGGAGGCTAGCTTCCACAGTCTCACGTCATGGCCAAGTTCACTGCATCTCTGCCCCCTACCCACTTCCTCTCCCCCACTGGACAGTTTCGAAGCACATGCCATCCACCATGTCATTTCATCCACAAATATTTCCACATGTATCTCCAAGAAAATCAGAACTATTTTAAAACATCACCACAATACCACATAAAAAAAATTCACAATGATTCTGTGATATCATCAGATACACAGAGTTCACATTTCCCCAACTGTCTCCCAAACGTCTTTTCATTTTTACTCGCCTGCATAAAGATCCAAATAAGGTCTACACATTGCACTTGGTTGATCTATCTCTTCAGATTCTTTTAGAAATCTAAAGAACCATCTCTCTCCTTCCCCCCGCTCTGCCTTGTGTTTGTTGAAGAAAGTGGGTCAGGTTTCCCACAATCTAACTGCAGCGGACTGCAAGCATGTGGTGTTGTTTCACATGTTCCTCTGTCCCTGGGTTTCTGGAAAATTGGTAGTTGGATCTACCGTCTTGATCAGCTTAACGTTCAATTTTTTGGCCCAGCTTCCTAGGTAACACTGTGTCCCTCCCTACAGAGCCTCACATGGCTGCCTGCCTCCCTTTGTAAGTTTATTAATGTTAGAAGCAGTCAAAGCTTCGATTCGTGCATTCATTCATTCACAAGATTGCTGGGCTGAAGGCTGGGGCTGGGGCTGAGCTCAGGAGCAGAACTGACTCTCCAGGAGGGGAACAGCATATAAGAAAGCCCAGAGGTGCCATCAAAATATTAAGCAGGGGAGGGACAAGGTCAGGTTATCGTTCTAATTCTGCAACATCCAACTCTGAATGTCCACATTCTAAGGAATCCAACTTTTCGACTCTCTTAGATCGCAATACTCCAGCATCTCGAGGTTCTCACACTCCAGCGGCATTTCCAACTTGCTGGGATCCCCACATTCCTGCCCTGCGGGATCCTGCCATTCATGAGTTCCACCGTTTTGATGTTGCATACGAGCGTTCCACAATCCTGAGCCCATCTCTCAAGAGGTCCAAACTACCACCTCCTAAGATCCCAGCCTTCCGAGATTCTAACACTGAGCCCCAACACTCTAGGATCCACTCTGGCTTTCTCCAACCCCAACATTTGTGGATGCTGGTATTTTAACACAGGCTTGCCCCATCCTGAGCCCAATATTCAAGGCCTCCAATCTGCCAATGGCATAAGGAATCCAACATGCGCAATCTTCCAATTCTGAATGCCCAAATTCTAGGATCCCAACGTTCCTGGAGTGCAGCGTTCGCAGATTTCAATCATTCACACGGAATCCTAGTGTCCTAGCATCCCAACCTTCTAGAACCGCAACCTGCTACCACTGAACTCCCACACGCTCGGTGTCCCTCATTCCAACATTCTGGTTCCAACACACCAGCAAGAAAGCAACCTGACCTCCACGTTCTAGGGCTCCTGGGGCACCCATCCCAGCATTCTAGCACTCAGACCTCGTCCGCTGAGCCTTCCAGGCTGGAGGGGAGGCCCACGCACATGTAGCCAGATGCCCAGTGTGGCCGCCTGGGCAGCAGCCGACCATCACGCCCCCCACCTAGGAGGCCCCGGGCAAAGGCAGAAAGGTCACCTGAAGCAGTAGTTGGTGTCCAGGGCCCGGCGCTGCCGGGAGCTGTGAAGATGCTGGGCCCTCTCCAGTGGGGTGGCCATGAGGAGCAGGAAGGGCCGGTTCATGCCGTGAATGGTGGCCAGGTCACCTCGGCGGCTGGAACGGAGCCCTGCTTTGGTTTGGAGGGGTGGGGGGTGGGGGGGAGACAGAGACACACACTCTCAGATGGATGAACGGGGGCAGGGGCAGGGGGAAGAAGACACACACGCGCATGCGCGCGCGGGCACGCTGCCATGGGGCCAAGCCAGGGAGATGGGCCTCACCGTTGATGTCCACTTGCAGTGTGTTATCTTTGCTGTCACACGAACAGTGGGCACTGAGGCGAAAGCCCTCTACTTCCCCTGTGGGAGTGGAAAGAGGGAAGCCATTGTGAGGTGTGGCTCACCCTGAGGCTGCAAGGGGAGGGAGCAACCCTGGGGGCAGGCGGGGGTAGGGG